AGGGGCGACCTCACCCGCGACTCGCCGCAGGACGTGGCAGCCCTCGTATTGGAGGCCGACCCCAACGCCGAGGCGATGATCCTGTGGTGTGCCGCCCCGCCTTGCCAGGACTTCTCGCGGATCGCCAAGGGGGCGGGTCATCAGGGCGATCGTGGTCGCCTCTTCGAGGACTCCGTCGCCTTCATGGATGAACTTCGCGCCATCCTCCGCCAGCACCGCTTCGCCTTCCTCTACGAGAACGTGGAGATGGAGGCGGCGGCGGCCCAGGTCTCGTCCGATGCTTTGGGCGTCTCGCCTGTCTTTGTCTGCCCTTCCGACTTCGGGTGGGTCTCTCGCCCACGCCTCTGGTGGTTGAGTGTGGACTGGACTCGGGTGGTCACCGACCCCGCCGATGGCTCGCCCCTGGAGTGGGCGAAGCGAGGTCGTTGGGACCGCCTGCGCCTTTCTGCCGCCAGGGTGGCGGCCGATTCATTCGAGCTCGGCGACCTTCAGTTTCATTCGTCGGTGGCCCAGGGGCGCAAGCTCATGCCTTGCACCACGACACCAGCTCCGACGGACGACGGGCGGCAGAAGCCGCGCTCCACCAGGGGGCGCACGCCCCGTGACGCCGACGCCCGTTGGGCGGAAGGGGGCCGACAGTTCGCCCCTTGGCACTACACCGTCGAGGCCATGCTCCAGGACTCGCGGGGCCTGCTCCACCTTCCCCCGCCAGACGTGAAGGAGCAGCTCCACCACATCCCCGCCGGGTACACGGCCAAGGCGGGCGCCGACACCAAGACCCGCCACCGCATGGTCGGGAATGGCTGGCATTGGGGCGTGGCCGCCCGCTTGCTGGGGATTCTCGTGATGGCGACCTGGGCGAAACCGGTGGCGTCGGGTCGGGCGCCTGCAGCGCCCCCACGCCAGGGGACCATACCCTGGTTGTCGCAGGTCTGGTCGCGGAAAGGCTGGGACTTCTCACCGCCGCCCCGGCCCACACCAGCCCTCTTGGGCGCAGGGTTGAATGAGGACGCCCATTGGGCGGCGGCGACCGGTATATGCAGCATTCGCTGGTTGGCTGGCCACAGCTGGAGCCCGCCCTGGAGGCGGTCATCCGATTTCGTCGGGAGTGGCGCCACGACCTCTCCCGCATCCGTGCCGAGGTGCTCCAGGAGCTACAGGAGATGGTCGACGAGGCAGCGGAGGACACGACCGCCTGGCTGGCCACTCTGCCCCCGCACGTGCGGGCGACCTACGAGACGAGTGATCGGCCTCGCCCTTTTCAGGGGCTCATCTTCGACCGCCTGCTGCGGGACCTTGGGTACCCGGCCACAGACGACCTCCGCCAGGATGTGGCCGAAGGCTTCGACATGTTGGGCCGAGTCCGCGCCGCCCCGGGCTGGAAGCCACGCGCTGATGGGCGCTATGCTCACCCCGAAGGGCTGGAGAGGCTGCGCCGGGAGAACCCCCAGTATGTCGCCAGGAAGTCAGCTCGCCCTCGCGACCAGGAGCACACACAGGCGCTTCTCGACGAGCTCGTGGCGGAGACCCGCCTGGGCCGGGTTACGGGTCCCTGCGCCGCGCCGGGACACTGGTCGACCGCCACTACCGCTCTCCCGTCGGTGGTGGGGATGGGCACCCTTCGCCAGCCCCCGCCAAAGAACTGCTTCGCGGCCCTCTCCTTCGCCATCTGTCAGGTCGACGAGCACGGCGACCTCAAGCTACGCCGGGGAGAGGATTGGCGCCGGTCGGGGCACAACGCCACCATGGGGGCGTCCGACGTGCCCACCCACCACTTCTTGGGGGACATCGTCGACCTGATCCTCCGGGCCTGGGCTGAAGGTTGGGATCCCGTGGTCTTTGGCCACGACCTTCAGAACGCCTACCGCCAGTGGGCGGTCCGCCACCCGGGGCACTGCGGCACCTTCCTACCGACGTCGTCGGGGGTGACGTTATGGTTCCACTTCGCCATGTGCTTCGGCGCAGCGGCGAGCGTGTGGAACTTCAATCGCGCGGCCGACGCCGTGCAGATGCTCCTCAGAGCGCTCCTCCTGGTCCTCCTCGGCCACTTCGTCGA